TCCAGGAACTTCTCGACAATTCCTTTGTTCCTTTCTCCACTGGTGATTCACATGGCATCACAGAGGAATTCTTTCAGATTATAGAGCACTCTTTCAAAACAGTTTTTTGCATGCTGTAACACGGGCTTTAAGACTGAAGTTCATTTTACTGAGCGGCGCCCCTGAGATCTGAAAATATGAAAATTAGCTTAAAGTGGGTGATTTCACATACAGCGTTGGAGTGATGTATGGCGATTCTGGCTAGGAGCACTCGGTATCTGTGATGAACATGACACCTTCCATTGGCGCTGATGCTAGCTCCAACCTAAAATGCAAAGAAATCTTCATCACGAAGAACTAAACCTCGGACCAAATTCTTCACCACTGCTTGGCCTTTACGTGATCGCTCAGCGAAAATAGACTTCGGGTTTGTATTCTACGAATGAGTTCCTAAAAGACGCAGGAAACTGTTCTGAAAAGCGCTCCACAGCCTGCAAGGCATCCTTTGACCGATTCATGCGTAAAACTCAGTGGCTGTACAAGGTGGGCATGAATATGGTGACAAGGTAGAACTTTGACAAAGTTGGTTTCCCAACCATGAGCAGAGCTGTAATAGAACCATCAAATCCGACATTTTCTTCTACATATAATATTATAGAGTTAGTTTGGCGGCGCACGCATTCTCGTGCATCACTTGGCACTGAAGTGGTATCAAAACAGGGCCAACGATATCTTCCTAACGCTTTCTGGCAAGCCTGCCCACCTCCCCACCTACCTATGACTGATGACCTCCCTCCCGTCTTCGGAGTCTCCCTTGTCGGACTCTTTTCAACTTTCCCAGTCTCCAGCCCTCCCGCCCGCAATGGTGCTTTCCGTCGCCAACCTCCACTCATATTTTTCCTAGTCTCCAAAACTTTTTGAAACCGAATTATAAGTTTGGCGCAATGCTCCGCCCACATTAGTGCAAGCTCAACCCACCTGTGACATTTGGCCTCCTTCCTTCGCCGACCTCTACCTGTCCATTTTTTCCCGATCTCCAGGACTTCTTGGAACCGAGTTATAATTTCGTGGATAACTCCGCCCACTTTGGCGCATGCCCCGCCCACCAATAGCAGTTAACTTCTTTCCTTCGCCGACCTCTATCCACTTTTTCCCGGTCTCCAGGACTTCTTGGAACCGAATTATAAGTTTGCGCAAACTCCGCCCACATTAGTGCACGCTCCACCCACCTATAGTAGAGTTGACCTCCCTTTTGTTGCCGGACTCTATCCACTTTTCCCGGTCTCCAGGACTTCCGGGAACCGAGTTTTAATGTTTAGTGGGTAACTCCACCCACATTGGTGCATACACCGCACACCAACAACATCCTTCATTTCCTTCGCCAACCTCGATCCGCTTTCCTCCGGTGCTTCTTAGAGCAGAGTTATAAGCTCGGTGGCAAACTTTGC